TTTTTGATTTCAACTCGTTTTGGATGTTAATTTTTTTCAAGATGAGGAAAGTGCAAGTAATTCAATTAACTTTTGGTTTAAAACAAGGGTTTGATTAAAGAAAAAAAAAGGAAAGAAACTGGAGAATAGAGAGAGAAGATGAAGGATGCGAAGAATTGGAGAGAGATAGGACGTGAGGCATGAAAGTACCCGTTTGATTGAAAAAAATAAAAGGGAACGAGATGGGTTGTGTTTTTGGGTTTGAAGCCCGAGTCCGGAAAAGAAAAAATTAAACCAACGGAAGGGTTGGATTGAGTTCGATCCGGCTCGTTTGCACAAAAATAAAACAAAAAGGAGGGGGTTGGACCGATAGTAGCCCGGCCTTCAAAAACCCAAAAAAATAAAATAAAAAGGAAGACTGGTTCCATTCCGACCTTCTCTCAAAAAAAGAAAAAGAAAAAAAGAAAAGGGGTAATAAAGAAATAAAAAAATAGAATCGGGGAAGAAAAAAATAAAAAATAAAAAAATAAGAAAGAAAAAGGAAAAAGGGATGGGTAGAAAAATAAGTTGTAGGTTAATGGTTTAGGTATATGACGATTTCTTTATTATTATTATTATTCAAATATCTATTTTTTTTTACTTTTATTATTTTTTTATGGTTAGAAAAAATTATAAAAATCTTGACGAAGTCTCCTATGTGATAGGGAATGACGTTACAAAAAAATGCCTAAAAATTTTAGCGAAGCCTCCTACTTAGTAGAGACTGATGCCACCAAAATAATAATAATAAATAAATAAATTGACGAAGTCTCCTATCTAATAGGGATCGATGTCACCAAAAAGAATATTCAAGATTTTCGACGAAGTCTCCTACTTGATAGGGACCGACATCACAAAAAATCACCTTTTAATGAAGATGTCCTCCGACACGTCGGTTGTGTTAAGGCTTTTAGTAGATCCGATGTTTGAACCTCCGTTTCGCTTAACGAAGGTGACCGACGATCGTTTCAATATGATGCCATGCCCAAAGTAAACTTTTTTTAACTTTGAAAAAAATGGGAGTTTAAAAATTAGAAAATAGTTTGACATGGATTTTTAGGAGATGAATTTAGAACTAAACCATACATGGTACCTTTTTTCGAAAATGACACTTTTAGGTAATTAAATATCTTTCTAAAAGTGTAACCAACTCCTTACCTTAGGAATCTCCGAACCAGTGCTACTTTTAGGTTTTTAGTTTCTTAAATACTAGGTGGTGACTCCAAAACTCTGTAAATAATTTTATAAATAATTAACGCTTAGACTTAATCTATTGATGAGTCCCATCCGACGTCGTGTAGCGACAAAAATAAAATAAAATTAGCATTTATATGATCATCATCATCATAATTAATTTATATACTTAAATAAAAAGGTGTTCTCTCCCCTTTTCTCTCGGCAATCATGATTTGTTAACCGCCACAATATTGCATGCGGACAAGTAGACATAGGCTATAAAAAGAGATCTTAATTGCGGCAATAAATGCAAAAGTCAACTCAACCATGCATCTCACCATCGAAGTGTTATTATAAATAATTAGAGATCTTAATTATTAGCAATAAATGTACAAGTCAAGTTAATCGTTAACATTTATTTATATCTACTTATCCATTGATAGGACAATGGATTGGGCGAAAATAAATGCGTAATAGCTAGTTAACGGTAGCGGTAGGAATATCACTTGAACCAATGTGTTGAATAGATAAGTCCTCACTATTTTGTCAACATGTAACCGTTTGCCAACTCGGATACAACTCATATGTGGTGGGAAGCACTAATGTTACGACACCATAAATGAGGAGGAGCAATAAAGAAGGTTGAACTATTAGTAGAAGAATGGAATGATTGAAGCATTCATTGAGGATAGTGTAATGCCATATGGGTCTAAGAAGAGTAAATCCGACACTTATTTTATGCTTATTTTGGGATCAGTTTCCCTATTATCGAAAGAAAAATTAGGCATATACCTATTGGAATTTTTGCCACGTGCTCACCCATGAAAGAAGTACTTCGCTAAAATGATCATTGATGAATTCGTTGAATTTGTGAATTAAATGAGCGAGATGGAGGTGAGGGTATTAGAAGTTAGTTATCCAATATGTGCAAATTAGTTAGGTAGTTAGATTAGAGTTAGTTAGTTGGTTAAAAATGTGAAATGTTATGTGAGACACGAGAGGATCACTCCTTCCTACCGTATATATACTATGTATGCTTGTACGGTAAAGAAATACATAATACAAGAGCACTTTCCTAATTTCTTCAACTAACATGGTATCAAAGCCTTAATTTTCTCTCCTTCACGAATTCAATTCAATTCGTCGATTTTCTTTGATGAATTCGATTCATTTCGTCGATTTTCTCTAATTCATCCTTCATATTACACAAATTGATTCCTTAAATCAAGAATCATTACGAATCAAGTCGATATTTCCAGTTCATCGCACACTCCTAGTGTTCTTCCTTGCGATATCAATGATCCTCTATTCGTGCATCCCTTTGATACGTCCAATCTAGTGCCGGTTACACATCCGCTAAGAGGAGAAGATGATTACGGCTCTTGGAGCAAAGCAATGATGATTTCCTTAGAAGCTAAAAGCAAGGATGGTTTTGTGACCGGACGAGTGCTCTAAGCTAGGGATCGATTCTCCAGATTACAAATAATGGAAAAAATGCAATGCATTAGTACATGCTTGGATTTTAAACTCGGTTTCCTCACAACTATTTAATGGACTAGTTTATTATCAAAATGCGGATAAAGTATGGAAGGATTTGAAGGAGAGATTTGATAAACAACATGGAGAAAATTTTTTTACCTTACACAAAGAAATTAATCTGCTAACTCAAGGATCCGATAGTGTGGCGAGTATACTATTCCAAACTAAGACAACTATGGGATCGGTATGATTCGTTAATCCCTACTCTTACGAGTGTCTTTCCAAGTTATAGGAGTGAGATTACTCAACCATTTGTTGAATATACGCAACGGCACAAAATGATCCGAGTTTTTAATAGGATTAAATGACCAATATCAAGCTCGTGAGGTCACAAATCTTACCGATGAATCCCATGCCCACTCATTCACAAGCCTACTCAATGATCTCAAATGAGGAGTCACTAAGAGGAATTATACCACATCGGGATGTTCCTATTGCTTTCTACTCGTCGGACAAGAGAATCAATATAGACCATCCTTTGATAGAAGCTCTTAGAGTAAAGAGATGAATTGTGATTATTGCCATGTTTCGGGACATATATAGGAAAATTGTTACAAGTTGCATGGATATCCAAATGCATCGAAGAGATTTTCTAGAGTTAATAGAGGCGAGACGAGGTGATAGTGGCTCTAATTTTGGTAGGGATAGGTAGAGACAAGTACAATGCTCATAATGCCAAATATATGGGATAGGAGTCCATTTATGAAGATCACCATTCCGCTCACAATCCACGACTTCCGATGACATCACCTTCTATTTTTTCACAATCACGAGTATCGCAAATCTTAAAACTACCGTCAAAGAATGGTTCATCGGAGAAGCCTTCGCTAGCACTAAGCTAGTTGCATACATGGCAAATGAATTTTTTTATAGTTTTGTTGATATTATATCTCTTACCGATGCATGGATAATAGACATAGGAGCTAATGTTCACATGATTGGTTTATTCAATTGCTTGGAAAATCCTAGAAAATTAATTTCAAACCTCACTATTAGGTTACCTAATGTGACTCAAACTCAACTTTCTCATATAGGATCAGTTTCTTTTTCCCACTTAATTCTTCGAATGTCTTATACATCCCCGATTTTTGGTTCAATTTATTGTCGGTAACTAAGTTTACTACCGATAAGAATTGCCTTGCTTCCTTTTATCCACATCTCTCGTTTGTTTCAAGACCTCACCATTGGGAAGACAAGGGGGATTGGTAAAGTTAGAGACGATTTATATCATGTCATGTCCAATTTGTTTGGACTCGTTTCTAATTTAGCCTTTTTCAATTATATGCTTCCTCAATCCGATACTACTATAAACAAATTTTTTCAGCATTTTATCATTCCAATACTTGTAATTCCTCATCCAATTATGATAATGTATTGCTTTGGCATAAACATTTTGGCTACATATCCATGTCCGGACTTCAAATGATTCTTGGAATTTTCACATCTCGGACTAATATGCTATGTGATATGTCCCCTTGCTAAACAAACCCGACCACCTTTCCCATTGAGCACTTTTGTTTCTCGCAGTATATTTGAGCTTATCTATGTTGACATTTGGGGTCCCTATAAACACCCTACGTACAATCGGGAGAAGTATTTCCTCTCTATTGTTGATGACTTTTCCAAGGGAACATGGACTTTCTTTATGCAAAATAAACATGATCTTTCCTATTACTTGAACACTTTTATGCCCTAATTCTTACCCAATTTTCTTATCCTGTTAAGGGAGTCAAATCGGATAGGAGATTTGAATTCTTGCAACAAATTTGTCAAACCTTTTTCTCCACTAAAGGCATTGTCCATGAAACCATTGTCCCTTATACTCTATAATAAAATGGTGTTGTGGAGCAAAAACACAAACACATATTAAACATAGCCAAAGCTATTATGTTCCAGATCATATGTCCTTATTCATTATTGGGGTGATTGTATTTTAACATCCACATACCTTATCGCGAGAACACCTACACCACTCTTACATGGAAAAACTCCATTTGAGATCTTATTTCGAAACCTCTTAATTTTTCTCATTTTAAGGTCTTTGGATGCCTATGTTATGCTAAAATCCTACTTTGTACTCGACAAATTTGCTCCTCATTCTAGAGCTTGTTTTTTTTAGGATATCCTTACTCTTTAAAAAGGGTATCGAGTCATGGATTTGAAGTCTCATCGGATATTTATCTCTCGTGATGTTCTTTTTCATGAATCAATTTTTTCCTATAAAACATCTTTGTTATCTTCTACCGACTAGTTTAGTTGTGTACCTCCTACTCATGTCTTTCATTGGCCATATGATGATGACCAATTCTCACATTCACTTTCATCGACCGCCACTTCTTTTTCGACATTCCTTCACCTTCCCCCGCTAATTCTTCTTCTATTCCTTTAACTTTTTCTTCTCCTTCGTCTCGGTCCATTCTTCTTACCGTGGTTCCTCCACAAAAATCTTCTAGGCCTTCTAGAAATCCCTTCGATCTCATGATTATCATTGTCCTACATTACCGTCGCTACACGACGTCGGACAAGACCCTCCAAAAGAAAAATTAAGAGTTTGGGCGTTACTTAATTACAAGATTATTTACAGAGTTTTGGAGTCGCCACCTAGTATTTCGGGAACTAGGAACCTAAAAGTAGCACCGGTTCGGAGATTTCTAAGGTAAGAAATTGGTTACGCTTTTATGATGATCTTTAATCACCTAAAAGCGCCCTTTTCGAAAAAAGGTACCATGCACGGTTTAGTCGTAAATTATCTCCTAAAAATCCATGTCAAGATATTTTCTAATTTTAAACTCCTATTTTTTTAGACTAAATAAGTTTTTAGTTTTGGACGTGGCATCATATTGAAACGATCGTCGATCCCTTATGTTGGGTGACACGTCGATTCAAATATCGGATCCACTAAAAGCGTTGACACAACCGGCGTGTCGGAGGATGTCTTGATTAAAAGGTGATTTTTTTTTGTATGGCGTCGGTCTCTATCAAATAGGAGACTTCGTCATTTTTTTAGGCATTTTTTTTTACGACGTTAGTCCCTATCGATAGGAGATTTTGTCAAAATTATATATATATATATATATATATATAATTTTCTAGCAATACATATTAAAAAACTCAAATAAAAGTTCTAAATTAATAAAGAAAACTACAAGAAGTAAAATAAATAGACTGAAAATTAAATAAAAATAAAAGAAAAAATAATAAAAAAATCATCCTATGTGAGCGAGTAAAAAAATAACTAACGATAAAAGTAAATAAAAACAAATTCTATACCTAAAATATTAACCTACCACCTTTCACTTTTTTTTTTTTACCCATCCCCCTTTTTCCTTATTTTTCCTTTCACATATTTTTTATTCCCTAATTCTATTTTTTGTTTTATTTTATTTTTGTGTTTTTTTTTGGAAGGTGGGCTACGGGTCGGGCCTCCCCTTTTTTTTTTTTTTTTGGGAGAAAGGGTGATTTCAGCTCGACCCTTTTTTTTTTTTTTTTTGGCATCGGGTCGGGCTCCGACCTAGCGCGTTTTTCTTTTCCCTTTTTCTTCGCCGGGCTTAAACCCGGAAACAAGCCCGCGTAACCTTTTTTTTACTTTTCGGATCAAATCAAAAGTTTCTCATTTTTAAACTTTCTCTCTCCCGTTCTTCGTGTTCTTCATTTTCTCTCTCTAGTTCTTCAAGTTTTTCGAAAATTAAAGACTCCTTTTTCAAACGACACATTCAATCACACACACCATAATTCAAGACAAGAAATAAATAGCAAGTAAACATCCGACATTAAAACGAACAACGAAATAAAAAAGAACGGGGAATCGAATTTAGGGACTCACCGGAAAACTTCCAAAGAACGACAAGATGAACCCGTGAAAAATTCAATGAAAAAAACCGAAATGCGAGCACCACGAGTGCTTGTTTCTCGAGAACCGATTGAAACCCCGCTCTCGATTTCTTTTTCTCTACCTTAATGAACCAAAAGCTCCCTCGAATCAACACTAAAGATGTCTCAAACTTGTTCTAGGTTGAAGAACACAAACCCGTAATAAGAACTTTCAACCTAGAACCCGAAACCCAAAAAACTCGATTGCCAAAAATCAAAATTAAATCTTTTGCTTTCGATTTTGAACTCTTTCTAACTGAATTGTTCGCCCAAAAATCCTCCCCTTCTTTCCGTGAAATTCAAACGTTTTATAGCCAAAACAATTTCCTAAAATTGAATTGAAATCCCCGAATTTTCCGTCAAAAACTTCCTCTTTAATTTGAGATTAATTGTGAAATCAAAACAAGAAATTCTCATTGATTCCTGTTAGCGTTGGTTTTGGCAACAAAATTCATGATTAATACACAATCAAAAATAAGAAATTCATGGAGGATTTGGGCGATTCTCCCAAAGATTTTTGGAGAGAATCGCGCTTGGAGTGAACGACAGTGTCGTTTGCTCCATTTCGGTCCTATCGTTCGCTCTAAACTTTCGGTTTGGTCCTCACGTTTCAATTTCAGCAATTACGCACCTCTGCGAAATAATTTCAGTACAATCTCAACAATTAGGTCCCCGGAGGTGCAATTTAAGGCCTAAACTTTTTTAATTGACTCGATTACATCCCTAATTACTTTAATTGCACCCTTAAATGAATTTTTTGTTTTTTTTTCATCATTTTCTTTCTCTCTCTTTTTTCTTTTCTTTTTCTTTAATAAACTTCAATAATAAATAATAAATAATAAAAACAAGAAAAATTTGGGTTATTACAATTACCTTGGTCTAATAATGCTTCTTCCTCTACTACTAGACATCCTATTTCAAATTCCTTTCCCTTTGTTCTGTTTCTCCTTCTTATACAGCCTTTCTAGCTTCTATTTCTCCCATTAGAGAACCTAATTCATATTTAGAGGCCATTAAGGATCCTAAGTGGGCGAAGCTATGACTAAGGAACTCCAAGCACTTGAATTAAACCAAACATGGGTTCTAATTCCTTTGTCTCCTAGACAGACCCCTATAGGTTGTAAGTGGGTTTACAAGATAAAATTCAATTCGATGGGAGTATAGAAAGGTATAAAGCTAGGTTAGTGCCCAAAGGCTACACTCAACAAGAGGGAATTGACTATGGTAAGACATTCTCTCTAGTGATGAAAATGGTTATAGTAAGGACTATACTTGCCTTGGTTGCTAATCATGATTGGCCTATTTTTCAACCTGGATGTCACAAATGCTTTTTTATAAGGTGATTTACATGAGGAAGTATATATGGTTTTACCTCTTAGACTTAGCAATCGGGGGAGAATATGATGTGTAGATTGCTCAAGTTCCTTTATGGAGTTTAACTTGAAACTTAAAAGCATAAATTGATTACATGGTGTCTAAGCTACGACTTTCATCACTACATATTGCTTGAGATTTATTCAAAGAAATAGTATTGTCTAGAGAGGGACAACAACTGCATTTCTTTATTACAAGTAGCATGTATTTCACTCTCACACACAAAACAAAAGAAAGAAAGAAGATAGTAGCATGCATCCCAAGCATTAGAGAGGATATGACTAAGCAGCAGAAACTTTGAATGAGTCCAAGCGGGTAGCATCTGGACGTCTTTGTTTCCACATTGTGGAGTAGAATTCTTCATAGGTGAAATCTTTATAAATTGCTGGACGATCATCATTGATCAATTCCTTAGGAGGTCCTATGTGAGTATCATTTGATGGATAGCAATATGAAGCAATGGATAAACGCTCTGTCTCAGAATTGACAATAACCCTATGAAGCAAACTCTTGTATTGAAGATTGCTAAGCCCCTGATAAGAAAAATTAACATTAAAAAAAGAAAAAGAAGAATTAGATTCTAACAATTAAAAATAAACAAGATTTTAGGTTATGGTTTGATTGCTGACCACAATCCCTTTAAATGGACGTGGATGTAAAACAGTAAAAGATACCATTTTTCTATAATTGTTTTTTCTAACATCAAGAAAAGTGTTAATCAAGAAGACAACATTGGAGTCTACATAGTTGGCATCTCTATTGCATACAAGTCAAATTGATTATTAATATTGTTGTTTTTTGGCTTGAAGAAAATTCTAAGAAAAAGGAGAAAAGAAAGAGAGTAAATGACCTGTAGTACGTCACCAACATGGACCACCAAGGCGTTAGGCATAGGCTTCACAGGTACATACTCGTCATTTAGTAGAACTTCAAGTCCAGGCACCTCATCTGGCAGTAGCATCGTGACTATAGTAGAGTCAGTATGACCACGCAGTCCAAAAGTGCGTTCTAGATTTGACTCGTCACAAACTGGATAGTAGTTCAAAGACGTATATTGTCCATGTTTGCCCAATATTTGATCTATAGTTTCCCTTTCCATGCCTAAACCCTCAAATATGGCCTCAATTACTGTTATTTCTGCCCTTTTAGAGGCTACACAGTAGTCACCTACGATTTCCCTGCAATCAATCACGTACAAATATTATCCAAAAAAATCATGTCAATTAAAACATTTAAAATATAATTTATATTATTCTTTAATATATTTTTAAAATTTTTTTAATTTATTAAAAACAATATAGTAATAGAATTTGAATTTTTAACCACTTGATTAGCTAAACTACCATACCATATCAAATATAAATCTTAATCCCAAACATAAATTTTTGGGTGAAGTATCGTAGTATAATTAATATTATATTTTAACATATTATTTATAGCTTAATAATAATATTTTTTATTTGAGAAGAAAAAAACCCACCGCTAAATTAGTCCCTCTAATTCGGAAAGAACTTTGTATTTCCGCACGGGCACGCATATATATATATATAATTTAATAAAATAATTAAATTATAAAATACAAAAATGCACACACATATATGTGTGTGTTTATAATTTAATTATCTTATTAGATATTACCTGAAGGATGAAGGATTTGTAGGCCATGCATTCACAAATTTTTCAAGAGGATGACTATGAAATTTCAAGGATTCCCTGGAGACGAAAACATCCTGTTTATCGTCCTTAAAGCCGACAGCAAGCGAGATGAGACTGGTAGGGTCAGGAGAGTATAATTTCTTCCTTTCTCCCTCTGGCAGATGGAAGAACTCTCTTGCTAAGCCCATTATGCCATTCAACAGCGTCTCTGAAATTCCATGGTTCTTCAACTGATGATAGGAAAAATTAATTATTACACAATATTATTTACAAATAACAAGATATAGTATATATATAAAAAAAAACAGTAAAGATTTTATAAAAATTATTTTTTTTTCGATTTCTTCAATGCCTTTGATTTAACAAAAGATATTCAAGTTCAAATGAATTTTATCCATAAAGATTTCTATAATAATTTTGATGGTTTGCACATAAAGCACTTTCTATTATAAAATCAAGTCATTTTCCAATATATATATATATATATATATATATGCATAGATTGATGTCTACCATAAAGAAACCATAGTGTCGGCATGCATGGTCAAGCTGTTTGATGATATCAGAGCGGCTAGGACCA